AAAAAAAAAAAAAAAAAAGAATTAAAAAGTCAAAGAAACTCAGGGAGTGAAGGAGGATCTGGCATCAGGGGAAAAAGGTTAGAAAGAAGGAAATGATAAGAATGACCAAAAATGACAAGCTTTTCTGAATTAACATTTGGGGGAAATCATATTACTTCTTATTAATATTTACTGCAGCATATGTTGAATCAGTGATAGAGATCAACCCATTAAACTTTTAAACTATGACCATGTTCTCAGTTGCACAAGACACAATCAAATAAAGTTTGCTTCCTACAAAGAAAACTCATTTACATTCACTGGTGAGTACTGTGTTACTTTAAAAAAAAAAAATCATCTACGAAATCAAACAGGCAGCATTTACCCTAAAGCAAAGATGAGATGGTGAGGGGAGCAGGGAAGCTAGGAAAAGGAACAATGAGATCGTTGAGACACCGTGGAAAATGTAACCAATGTCTCCAACACTCACTCACCCACTCTCCGCCGTCGAGTCTTCCAACACTCACTCACTCACTACCACCGAGTCTTCCAACACTCACTCACTCTCCGCCACCAAGTCTCCCAACACTCACTCACTCACCACCGAGTCTCCCAACACTCACTCATTCACCACCGAGTCTGCCAACACTCACTCACTCACCACCGAGTCTCCCAACACTCACTCACTCACCACCGAGTCTTCCAACACTCACTCACTCACTCACTGCTGTCGAGTCTTCTAACACTCACTCACCACCGTCAAAGTCTTCCAGTACTCACTGACTCACTGCTGTCAAGTCTTCCAACACTATGTATAAAAGTTGTAAAATGAGAACTTACTTTCCTGTGTAAACTTTCAACAAAAATACAGTATTAAAAAAAAAAAAACCAGAAAACTCATTAACATCTAGTAAAAAGTCAATTTCATTAACTAATGACAAATATAATTTCTCTGAACATATTACCACTTACCTATTATTGGCAGTCGATCCTGGTCAAGTTTTATTCTTGCAAAGCCATCCTAAAATATAAATAAAAACCATTTTATGAATAGCAAAAATTTCAATTCAAATCCTGTAACTATTAGCTGAAAAATATTACTCTATTAGGAGAACCCTCTCTCAGACAGTCAAAATGACCATAACAGTCACGTGGAGATTATTTACACAGCACTTCCTGACCATCTTCCTTCACACAGGGCATCTCTGAGGATACCGTGTATTTTATGATGCATAATCCTATCATTTGCCATTGATAAAATGTGCTTTTGTTACCATTCTGGAAGAATACTTCAGTAAACACAAGACTTCATCTAAGGTGAAATCGAAGCCACCTAACGTGTCCAGGAATGGAACCTAGTGTCGAACTACACAGAGTCCACAGCAAATTCCCAGTGTATTTCCAAATAGGGTTTCTTTTCAAGTCTTCATTTTGAAATTACTTCCAACTTACAGAAGAGTTGCAGGAATGGTGTTAAAGACCTCCCATACATCCTTTGCCCAAATTTGCCAACCGCTTAAGTCCTGACAAGTCTGGTTTATCACCATGTCTCTATATTACTGTTTTCTATGAATCATGCCAGAGTACGTCAGAGAGGGCCTGCCCCCTTTCCCTAATACTTCGATGTGTATTTCTTGAGAAAAAGGATGTTTTCTGGTTTAACATGGCAACTATCAAATTCAGGATATTTAACCATACTGTTAAGGAGCCCTGGTGGGGTGACGGTTACGCAGCTCAGTTGCTAAACGGAAGGTTGTAGTTTGAACCCATCCACGCCGCTCCATGGGAGACCTGGAGACCTGCTTTTGTAAAGATTACAGCCTAGGAAACCCTACAGGGTGGTTCTACTCTGTCACATGGGGTCACTGCAAGTCGAAAATTGACTTGGGGGCACCCAGTAAGAACACCACCGTTGTAATGCTGTATCCCCAGATTCAAATGTTGCCTGTTGCTTCCTAAGTAACTTCTAGATGTAAACACAGCTACACATTTCAGCCAGTTTCTTCTGCCTACACGGCAATTAATGTTTTGTAACGAATGGGTCTTAACTATCTATTGGTTAGCATCAACACCTTTGCCAGCCCCATCCACAGCTTTGATTATTCATCCTTTGCAGAGAACATCAGAGCAATCAGGGAGCAGTCTTCAATCTTACCCTTACAATGAAGGAGACATGGAAGATGTTTTCCACTGTACGGGGAAAAGAATTTGGATCGATCACAAAGTCAAAGAAGGATATAGGTGTATCAGCTACAGAAAAGAGAGAAAAGATTCATTAGAACATTCAACAGAGTATTATCGAACTAGCATGAATTTTAAGCCCAGTAATTCCTCATGTCAGCCTGAAGGAAGGAGAAGCAATGGGTGTCATCCTGTTGGGGGAGTGTAAGCCCACCCTTCTGGAGGGCAACCTGATGGTATCTATTCAAATCCGTATGCCACTTACTGGCGGGCCTCATGAAACAGGAGTTCTACAGAAATACGAACACAGAGGTATGTGCAGATTCTTACTTGAGCAATTTATATGAGTGAGATGCTAGAGAGAACAGGGCTAGCCTATCAGGAGAGGGTTAGCTAAACCCATTTACAGTACAGCCAGACAGCGGCAAGAATAAGGGGGAGTCCCTGGCCAGTGCAGACAGTAAATGCACTCAACTCAAATACCAGAGGGCAGGTTGGAGGTTTGAGTCTGTCCAGCGGTGCCTCAGAAGAAAGGCCTGGTGATCTGCGTCTGAAAGGCAGCCACCTGGGGAGCCCAGTTCTACTCGGACGTACGAGGTTGCCAGGAGTCAGAATCGACCGGGTTTTCTGGTTTATACGTATCGATGTGGAAGTATGTCCACACTGAAAGGCCATGTTGCACAACACTGTGCATATTATGATGGGGTCTGAAGAGGCACAACACAACTCTTCGTGTGTGTGTGTGTGTGTGATAGGAATAGACAATAATCTGAAAAGAGAACTGTTTTTTTTTTTTTTTAAATAGCTGCCACTGTGGAGAGAAACCCACTGCCATCAACTTGATTCTGACTCACAGTGCCCATAGAGGACAGAGAACTGCCCCATAGGGTTTCCAAGGCTGTAAACCTTACAGAAGCAGACTGCCACATCTTTTCTCCTGTGGAGCACCTGATGGGTTCAAACCGTCCCCTTCTGGTTGGCAGCCCACAATGGGATGCAGGCATTCCACGTGGCAGAAAGTGCCTTCTTAATAAAAACAATCTCCGGAGAGCCACACAAGCCCCAAGTTGAGAAACATAATCTTCTCCATCCCCCACCCCCTGGGATCAGACTTACGATCTTCCTGAAAATACGTCTGCAACAACCCCAGGATCCTCTCCACTTCCTTTTCAGTCGCTTCCTGATGCGATTCTTCCATTCTTTTTAACTGAAAAGAGAGTCACGTCAAGCCAGCTCACCTCCTGGCTTGCCTGCCAGCCTTTTCTCCTCTCTACTCCAAACCTTCTAAACACATTTTGTGGTGGGTTGCTAGCACTTTCTATTTCCACCTTAAAATGTACAGTTGATTGGAAAAAAGATTTTCTTGTCTCAGTAACCTTTTTATATTGATTACTTAATAGGAGAGTAGTAACATGACCATTTCTGAATGGAATGTAAAATGGCCAAACAGAAAAAGGGCTGTTTAGAAAAATGGTTCACGATTGGGGTGATTATCCCCCCACTGCCCATGAGGCATTTGCCAGTATCTGTAGACGTTTCTGGTTGTCACAGCTGAGGGGGAGGTCTCATTGGAATCTACTGGGGGTGTGGTTGTTATGTGCCATCAAGTTGGACCTGACTCATAGCGACCCCTCCTTGGGTTTCTGAGGCAGTATCACTACGGAAGTAGATTGCCCCATGTTCCTCCCGAAGAGTGGCTGGTGGGTTTGAACCGCCAGCCTTCTGGTTAGCAGTCAAGTGCCTTAGCACTATGCCACCAGAGCTCCTCTAGTGGGGGTAGAGGCCAGGAATACTGCTAAAAACCCTTTAATGCAGAGGGTGGCCCCTCACCACAAAGTTATCCAGCCCAAGTTATCCATCAGTAGTGCCTAGGCTGACAAACCCTGGGTTAGAAGAACTAATCAAAATTAGTGATGCATTAAAGACAAGTATTCAATCCAATAAAATGTTTAAAAGCTTAAATAAAATTATTTAAGCAACCTGTCCCAAGACAGACTCCGAAAAGATGGCTACACTGAATATACGTTTACTGAACCTATGTCCCACTAGTGGCTCCACTGAACGTACGTTCCATTAGTGGCTACTTTAACTTTGGGTACTTTAGGAAGTAACTTTAAAGGAACAAACCTGGGCAGGCATGGCCCTCTGCTCTTCCGTCACACGAACTTTTTTTGGACGATCAACTCGGGGCTTTGGCGCAGGGAGCTCTCCTTGTATTGAACCCAACCTAATGAAAAAATTGCTCTCATGTCTTTGTTTTTTCAAACAAACGACTTCCACTCACTGAAAGCAGTCCCCAAGGTAGAGTCAAATTCAGACCAGGTAATGGAGCTGACACCAGACCAAGACTCTTGGCACCAGGTCTGTGACATCCTCTCTGCTCCCTCTGTGTTTCTGGAAGAATGTCTAGGAGCTTTACTCAGCCATAAATCTCTTCTCAAATGCCCTCATTTTGCTCTGGATAGCAAGCCAGTGAATGGGCTTGTGAAGTCTTCCTCACTAGTCTGGAATCTATTTTGGAAAGCCACCTTCAGAGACCAAGGAAGGATGACATGTTGGGATGAGGAATGGAACGGTTCCAGCGTGGTCTAGGGTACCAGGGTGGAGGCTCAGAGTGTGAGACAACAGGCCTGTAACAAACCTATCTGAGGACACTAGGTCAAGCAGAAGCCCTGGAATTCCCTTCCATTAGGGACTCTCTCCACCCAAAAGCCATCCTGGAGACTTCAGCTATGGTACCACATGTAGGATGTAGAGACCAAGGCCCTGAGAATACAGACCCATGAGGTCCCCACACTTGAAGAGATTGAAGAATACAATATAGATGGGACAGGTTTCAGTATGGTAGACCTACAGTGCTGTGCTAGAGCATCACTCAAGAGCTATGAGAACATTTGGGCAGAGATGTCTACTTGGACATGGGAGCAATCTGGTTAAGAAATCCAATCCTACAGTGATACCTCTGTCTGGAGAAGTTACTGGAGGCTTCTGAGAGGGAGGCTGTGGGTTAAGTAAACCTCACCAGATAAAGAGGGGGAGAGGACGTTGTAGGCCAAGGGAACGGTAAATGGGTAGGCCGAGTTCTAATGCCTCACTGTGCCTGGGAACTGGGCTGGATGATGCCATGGAGTTTATGGCACACCACAGAAGACTTTATCCTTAGCTCCTAGGATTTATGACAGAGCTTAGCACTCAACAGCAAAACACAAAGATTTGGTCTTTATCATAAATATACATTTGCATATATATAAATAAACAAAGTGGTTCTGGACACCGGAGTCACCTGTTAAAAACAGATGCCTGGTCCCACACCCCAAACCTACTGTATCCCCAAAACCTTCTAACCAAGGTGTTGCCAATCTTAGGAGGCTTAGGAGGGTGATTCAGAGGAGACAGATGCCTGGGACCTGCACCACATACGGAAGAAATGACCCCAACAGCTGGGATGGTTACCCTAGAGAAAGTGTCCACTGGAGATCACAGCCATGAACGTACCTGAAGACTGTCTTACCAAAGAACCAGGAAGAGCTCATCTTAGTCCCCCATAAGACTGTGGTAGGAACTCAGGGTAGCTAATTTCATTTGAAGAAAAATTTCCCAAAATTAGAGCTGTAGCTAAAAAATGAGGTGGACTGTTTATGTGACACTGACTTGACTAATATTCAGATCTGGTCAGTGGTTGTCCACCAGGGGGTTCTAACAACTGCCATGTTACGTACATCGGTACCGTCACTTATGATACCCCAATAGGAGGTGTCCTCGTCCTACATGATAAAGATTTTAAAGATGACAAAACAGAACCAGAGACATTATGCCCCAGACCCAAAGTCCCACAGCTAGGAAGGGAAGGAGTCCAGGCAGAGCTCTGGCCCATGGCCTTTCCTGCTAACACAGGACAAGGTGGCTTTTAAAGTTCCACCTCCATCAAGATCAACTGGTACAACATAGTCCACAAAAACAATGTTCTGCATCCAAGTTTGGTGACTAGCAACGGGGGCCTTAAAAGTTTTTGAGTAAAATAAAATGAATTTAACAATGGAAAAAAAAAAGTTTGTGAGTGGCCATCTAAGATGCAACTATTGGTCTCTCCCCACCTGGAACAAAGAAGAGTGAAGAAAATCAAAGACGCATGGAAACAATTAATCTAGACCACATAACGTCAACCTCCACGGCCCTGAGGCTGGAAGAACTAGATGGTGCCTGGCTACCGCTGCTCTGAAAGGGGTCACAATAAGAGGTCCTGGATAGAGTGGGAGAAAAACATGGAACAAAACTCAAAATCATAAAGACCAGGCTTACTGGCTGGAAAGAGACTAGTGGAATCCTTGAGACCATTACCTCTAGTCTTCCTTCATACCTGGACCTGAATTCACCCCCCTGCTTCAACTTTTAGCCAAACAATAGGCCTATAATAGAACAGTAACAGCAGGAACTGTGCACTCCTCTTAGAACAATCAACCGTATAAGATCCAAAGGGTAGCATGTGCCCAAGGACAAGGTTTAGCAGGCAGCAAGGGACAGGAGAGGAGCAGGAATGGAAACGAGAAACACACGGAGGAAGTGGGATGAGGAGGAAGTGGGATGTTACATTGAGGGGACTGCAATCAGTGGCATGAAACAAAATGTGTATGAATTGCTGAGTGGGGAGCTGATTTGCTCTGTAAACCTTCACGCAAATCCCAATAAAAAGTTTTCTAAAAACAAGAAGAGTACTCGGGCTTTTAAGTGGCATCATGATCACAGTGTCTATGATACCAAGCATCATCTTAATCTCTAAAATAAGACATAATTTAAGGTTCACAAACAGCTGGTCTGTCGGATTTTCAAAATATCTTACAGAAAGTGGAATGTATGGGTTTTATTAAAGGTGTTTTCTGCTGTTTTGCCTGATATTTTCCAGGAGTCATAGACTATCAATTCAAAATCAGAACTATCTTCATCACGGATGAGTTCTTCAGCTTCTAGCGGATTTACACCCATATGTGTCAGCTACAAAAATGAAGGAAAACAAAAAACCCCAGTTAAGCCACAAGCAATCATTCACCACATCCAAGTATGTACATCACTAAACGTTAGGAGGTCAGAGACAACGCCTGGTTTCAGTGTGCCAGCATGTTGGCCCAATTCCTTATTATAGAGATGATTTTATATAGAAATCCCTACCTTCTCTTCAGCAGATAATATCCCCAAATGCACTCAGGAACGTCTGGTCAGAGTGAGAGATAATCTAGATCAGTGGCTCTCCACCAGGGCGGTTTTGCTCCCCAGGTAGCATTTGGCAATGTCTGGAGCCATTTTTGGTTGTCACAGTGGGGGTGGGGTTTACTACTGGCATCCAGTGAACAGAGACCAGCAACCCACAGCGCACAGTCCCCAGAACAAAGACTGACCCCGCCCAGAAGGGACAGTGCTGAGGCTGAGAAGCCCAGCACTCGTGCGTGGCATGCTGAGAGGGCTTTAGTACACCCCTAAAATGAACCCAGCCCACTGGAAATGCTGGGGTCACAGAGTTTGTTCTTAAAGTATCAATACAGCTGTACTAGCCTAAAAAGATAAGATCCCAGCCCAAAGCAAAAGCTCTGAGAGAACTGGGAAGTGTAGCTGACTTCATGCTGTCAATTCCTAACCCACCTCCAGAGATCTCTGTGCAGGTCGTGTCTCAGTCTCAGAGAGTGGCCTGACATCAGTGAGAAGCATCCCTCTAAAGGGCCTGCCAGGGAGGAGCTGGCACTAGTCTAGCAATCCTCTGAGCCTATCTTACACTGACTTTACCTTAAGGAAAGTAGACTTGGACCATATTAGGCAATAAAGTGCTTGGAAGTTACCAAGTCACAAGGGTGGTACCATATATAAATACCAATCAGATCTCAGGGAGCATCACCCTATCAAAGGTGGCCACACCCTGGAGGAAAGCAGCTTTAAGACCCTGTCTGGGGTGGGACTCTCAGTGCCCCTCCATTCAGCTGCTCCCAGTCCTGCCACCATCCTGGAGGAAGGCTTCCGCTCCTATCTAGTCAGCTCTACCATCTTTTCTTTACAGTGTTTATATTTAGTTTGGTTTTCACACCCAGAGACTGCTGTTATTGCACGCCACCAAGCCCATGCCAACTCACAGTAGCCCCACATAACGAAGCAGAGTGGCCGCAGAGGGTTTTCTTGACTGTAATCTCTATGTGAGCAGACTGCCAGGGTTTTCTCTCGCCACTGGGTAAGTTCAGACTGACTACCTTTTGGTTAGGAGATGAGCGCTTAACCTTTGCACCACAGGGCCCCTTGCCCTGAAATTAGACAGCTCTTCATTTTGGGTTTTCGACTTAATGCTGCAAGGCTTCTGGGACTTATTACTATCCATACAGCACAAAGCTTAAGCTGGTAATAAAAAGAAATTTAAAAAGTGCTCAACATATAGGGATTTCATGGGTGCAACTATATGTCACTGGGCCTTTCTCTAAAGGCTTTATACTTAACAACGAAAAAGAAAAAAAAAAAAAAAAATCCAAGGTTTTAAAAACAATAAATTGAAATACTCATCTGCCTCATGCAAAATAATTATGTGATCAGGCCAGATCTCATGGTGGTGAACCACTTCAATGAGCCCTTCACTAACATAAACAGTCAGAAATGAAAAGTCACACCGAGGTGCATCTGCTGTGTTAGGCCAGAGAAGAACCAAAACAAAGGAAAAGACAACAGACACTAGAGGAGGGTCGGTCTCGGTGCACTTTTTGGTAAATCCGTCAACCCCCCCAAAATAACAGTGAAAACAACAACAACAACAAAAAACCCAAAGTCACTGCCATGGAGTCGATTCCGACTCACAGCGACCCTACAGGACAGAGCAGAACTTCCCCTAGGGCTTCCAAGGCTGTCGTCTTTACAGAAACAGAATGCCACATCTTTCTCCCATAGAGCAGCTGATGGGTTTGAACCCCTGACTGGTCCACAGATGAGGACTTTAACCACTGTAATAGGGCTCAGCATCCATCAAGGAGAAGTTCTAAAAATTCAGGTAACCACTGTCAACCTCATCAAGAGGCAAGAAAAGGAAAACAGTCCTATTCGTGTGGCTCTGAAATACTCTGAAAGACCCAGACACGCTGCCTCCGCCGGCCCCAATTCACCTCCAACCAAGTCCTACCAGCTGGGGTGCTGGGCGTTTGTCCAGCCCAGGACAGAGGTCTCGGGTTGCTGAGACTAATCTAGAACACTTCAGAACTGCCAGCTAACTGAAGGGAGAAAATGGCCATCTGCAAATCACCACAGCACTCCAGGCTCAAACGGTCCCAAGTCCCTCCCACAGCTCTGCTTTCATCTGTTCAGTTTGGTAAGGTCTCTTTGGAGGAATCCAACGGGACCAAAACAAAAAAGGAAAATTGAAGTGGAAACCATTAGCATGTGGATCTAAGTAAAGCAGATACCTTCACTATACACCATAAGATAAAGGAAACATTTTTATAAGACTCCATAGGTTTGCACTTACCAGCGTCTCGACATATCGTAACATGTCAAATGAGCTCAGGTCTGAGCGCAGCTGCTTTGCTTTCTCTCTTCCCAAATCTGAGGCCAAAACAAGAAACTGGGCATCCAAGACAGCCTCTCTCGCTCGGGACACTGTTAAAAAAAAAAAGACACATTCCAAATATTTTCCCTAAATTCCCAACAAGGTGCTAACTAGGCATTTCTTATTAGACAACCCCCCCCCAAAAAAAAACCTTCAATATGCTGAAAGCTCATCCATCACCCTCTAAAAGCTGGCCCCCTGCCCAACTCATCAAAATCTGGGCTGGAATGAGGGCTGGCCAGCCTTCCTCAAAGCCCGCTCTCCGGTTTCCCACTCCTGCTAACCACATCTTTTAATAACCCCAGTTTAGCAAAATTTGTTTCATCTCTAACACCTACTTCTCCCATTGACCCAACAGCCCTTTCTGATCACTACACCAAGTCCTCACTTATCAACATGGTTAGGTTCTCCAAAGACCAGCTTGTTATGTGAAAATGGAGGATGACCACATCAGATCACAAAATGGAGGATGCCTACATCACCACATAGCTGCCAACCCAGAGAATGATGGCCCAGCCAAGCTGACACATAGCTTTGACCATCACGGCCAGTGCTACTCATGCCGCACACCTCAGCGTTCATTATTGCCAGATGTAGGTCATTAATGTGCAAAACAGTCGGACAGCTGATTTTTTTTTTTTTTTTTTACAATGGTGGTGTTCTGGTTCCCTAGTGCTGCTCTGACAAGAGTATACCACAAATGGGATGGCCATCACAAACAGGTGTTTATTCTCTTACAGTTCAGGAGGCTAAAAGTCCAAGTTCAAAGCGCCAGGCTCTAGGGGCTGGGTAAAAGCTCCTCAACCCTGCGGTCCAGCTCTGCCTCCTGCTCCCAGCCCACTTGAGCTAGAGGTGTTTCTTCACTCAGACAGCTGCTGGCTCCTGAGGCTGACAAACCCAAGGTTGACAAGTAAAAAGGCACAGTCCTGATGTTACCAAAGCACACGGCAGGCCATTAATTCAAGTCCACTGTAAGTCCCAAGGTCAGCAGAGCATGGCAGGCTGCTGAACAATGACATGGCTACGTGCAGGGTCCAAGCGTGACACAGGCTAGAGACCATTTCCAAGGCTTCTCCTTATGTACAAGAAGCGGACCACATCCCAAAGCAACTACTCAGCTGCTTGTGGTAGATTCCACCATGGAGTTGATTGCCAGTCTCATCATGGAGAATAACTACCACTAGCTGCCCAGCCACTCAACTAGGCCCAGCCAAGCTGACACACAAACACACCCATCACAGGTGGTGAATGTGAATGTTGGATAATGAGACAGTCAGTAAGTGAGGGTAGGTATATTATCCTCTGTGCTGATTTCAGTTAAATCGAATACCCACTGCATGTTTGTCACTGTGGTTTGCTGAACAGCGAGAGGTAAGCTGCCAAGGAGCCACAGACGAAATCATGGTTACACGGGGGGCTCTGTGCTCAGGTGGTTCACACCACTGTAGGGAGACACAACCATCGCAGCATAAGCAATGCCAAAGGAACAGTCACGGAAGTAGGGTAGTGACCACTGAGGATGGAGACGAGAAAGACAGGAGTTACCACCTCACACCCTCTAGGATGGCTGTCACCAGAAAAGTGGAAACCAGCATGTGTGGGTGAGGTCATGGAGAAATTGGAACCCTTGTGCACTGCTGGTTGGAACGTAAAATGGTGTGTCCTCTGTGGAAAACAGTCTGGCCGCTCCTCAAAGAGTTAAACATAGACTTGGTAACCATACAACCCATGAGTTTCACTCCTAGATATACAGCCAAGAAGCCTTGAAAGCAAGCACTCAGACAGGTATGTGTCCACCACTCTCCATGGTAGCTGTATTCGCATCACCCAAGTGTCCATCAACAGGTGAATGACAATGGAATTCTGTTCAGTCATAAAGAGAAATGAAATTCTCATATGTGCTATATGGATGAAGCTGGAAACATGCTGCTGAGCAACATCAGTCACAGGAGGACAGACGTCGCATGAGCCACTTACATGAAATACCTAGCACAGGCCAATGCTTTGGTGTAAAGCCTGTGAGTGGTGCCCAGGGGCTGGGCAAAGAGGGAGCGGGCAGTGTTGCTGAGGGGAACTGAGGATCGGTGTGGGGCGATTTAAAACGTTTGCCCAGAGGTCACGGTGAGAGTAGAAGCACGGTGTGGTGACTGTAAGTAATGTCATGGATTCTACAGTCAAAAACAGTGAAAAGGACAAACTTTTCATGATGCCTTTTCCCAGTAACACTAAAAGGGAATGAGAAGGGAAGGGAGCAGAGAACACAGGATGTTCCCGGAGAGCTGAGGGAGGGGTTAACTGTGGAGGACACGGACAGGTCTGAGTTTTAACGAGGTGACTGGGAGCGTGCAAAGTGGTCTGGGAATACATGCCCTGGAGAATTCAAGAGAAAGCCAAGGGGGGACAAGTATGGCCAAGTTCAAAGCCAGTAATGCTGTGCTGGCCTTGCTCCTCAAGGCCGTCCCATCTGAATCACTGATTTCCTGAACGATCCTCACAAAACGGCAAAGACCATCGTTTCTTTTCCTCAGACGCAAGTTTTTAATCATCTCGGGAGAATTCCTGCAGGAGTGATGACGGATTAGGACCCGCGGATGCAGATGCTGGCTGCCAGTTAGACACGCCCATTCCTGGGCTGGGTTCTAGACCCTTCTCGCCCGTTCACCTCACAGCACATTCTCTGAGGAACGCCTGAAGTTCTGTCACGTGTGACTTTAAGGTCTCCAAATGGTTGATGGTCAAAACTGACAACAGCAAAGCCCTGAATGCCAAGATCTACGACCCTGTGTTTGCTGAGCGAGTCACTGCTGCCTTAACGAGTAATCCAGTCAGCACAACAGGCAGAGCTGAGGGGCAGTGACTTGTGGGTGAGACGCACAGGAAGCATGCAGGGAGTGCCGGAGTCAAGGGTAACAGTAGACCGAGTGGGGGTCCAGGCTGGGAGGGAAGAAAGAAGCCAAGAGGGGAGGGCTGTTAGCTAGATGAAGGAGAAAGACTTGGTTCCCGAAGGTTTAGACAAGATTTAGCAGGTATAGTAGACCAGGGAAGGCGCTGTGGTGACACAGTGCCTAAGGCATCTGACTGCTAACCAGAAGGTTGGTGGTTCAAATCCACCAGCCACTCTGCCGAAGCAAGACTGGGCAATCTACTTCCTCAAAGATTCACTGCCTTGGAAACCCAGTGGGGGTCACTATAAGTCAGGACTGACTCGATGGCAGTGGCTTTTTTTCAGCAGACCAGGGAAGGGGTTAGGGAGGTGAGGTTGGAGGAAGGAAGACACTGAGCGTCTACAGACAGAGAAGCGTCCACAGGAGCAGCGTTTACAGCAGTAGCCTTACTGGAGAACGACCAGACAGGGACGCTCTGGTCCTTGAAGAACATGAGCAATCATGGTGCCGGGCATCACCCAGGTCTGCTGACACCATATTGCCGTCCTGTCTGCCCCACACCCAGTTATAGGGCCCTACCTTGCACCAGGAGTCTCTGGGTGGTGCAAACGCTTAATGTGCTCAGCTGCTAACTCAGAGGTTGGAGGTTCAAGTCCACCCAGAGGCACCTTGGAGGAAAGGCCTGGCAATCTGGTTCTGAAAACTCGGCCACCGGAAAGCCTGTGGAGTGCAGTTCTGCCTGGCACACGTGGGCATCAGGGATCGGAGTTGACTCAGCGGGCAGCAGCCATTTGTCTGCCCTGGCTGGTCTCCCTTTCTGTTCCCACATAACTGTCAGAGAGGCCTGCAGAGGAATGTGGTCTGGGTAGCGTCTTAGGCTCTGTGACCCAGCACCCACATTGGGGAGTACCCCCCACCTATCCTGTCACTGAACTGACAGGCTGCTGCTGCTGTTGCTGCTACCACTAGCACCGCTGCTGCTTTTAATTCAAATTTGATTATTTCTAAAGCCCCCAAGGTCTAGAGCTCGGCACTGAGAAATGCCTCTCTCCCTCTCTCTCTCCCTCCCTGTCTCTTTCTCTCTCTCTCTCACACACACACACACACACACACACAAAGACATGCATACACCTGGAGACCAAAGGTCCACCACTTGGGGACATGGCCACCCCTACGGTTACAGGGTGCCCAACAGCACGCAGCTGGAAGAAGGGCAGTTAGGAGGCGGACAGGACAGGAAACAGATGCCAGAGGCTAGTTAGTCCCTCCCTCCCTCCATCCAACACTACACCAGGGCTCCAGGGCACCCAAGACGGACAGAAGAGGACACAAGGAGATCCCAAACGGTTGCCTTTGACTCAGAGTTGACCCCATGGGACAGAGTGGAAGTGCCCCACAGGGTTTCCAAGGCTGTAAATCCTCACAGAAGCAGACTGCCATGTCCTTCCCCTGGGGCGGCTGGTGGGTTCAAACAGCGGCGTTTCAGTTAGTAGCCGGGCACTTAACCGCTCCGCCTCCAGGGCTCCTTAACATAGTAGAGTCCTCTCGAACTCCAGCAGCTACAACCTCACCTTGAGGCCCTGAAAACCAGATCACCGAGCCCCACCCTAGACCTTCAGGGAAAGCCCTTCAGGTGTTCAGCAAACAGTAAGTGCGCAAGAGAAGCAGGATTCCTGTCTGTCATGAGTGGCTCATGTCCCCCAAACATGTGCCAACCTGCCAGGCTGTGATCCCCAGGACTGTGCCACTGTCCGCCATTTTGTGATCTGATCTAACTGTCCTCCATTTTGGGACACGCGCTGTGAACCCTAACCTGTATGTGAATGAGGCAGGATGAGGGTGGTTTGTACGGAGTCACAGCTTTACAAGGGTCCCATCTGTACTCAAAACAGCCAAACACAAACTGCCATTGAGTTGATTCCAACTCACAGTGACCCCCATTGGGTTTTCAAGGCTGTAAAGCTTTGTGGGAGCAGACTGCCTCATCTTTCTTCTGCAGGGTGCTGGTGGTTTTGACCCAGCAAACTTCTCGTCAGCAGCCAAATGCCTTAACCACTACTATACTGGAGCTCCTTACTCATACTCAAGTCCCACCGTTGCTTCAGTCACATCCTTTATCTTACAAGAGATAAAAGGAGAGAAGCCAGCAGAAAGGAACAGGACCTGACAAGCATCAAGAAAGAAGAGCTGGTCCTGTGGCCCAAGGTCCCTGTGCTGAGAACCTCCTAGACCCAGCTGAAGAGTGATGCCAAGACACATGAAGCTCTCCAAGGTTTCCACAGATGCTGAAAAGAGGCAAGGACCTTCCCTGCAAGCCAACAGAGAGACTAAAAGCCTTCCCTCAGAGCCAGCACCCTGAATGGAGAGTCCTGGCCTCCTGAACTGGGAGAGAAGCACCTTCCGCTTGTTAAAGCCTCCGCTTGGGTATTCCTGCTAGCAGCACTGGAGAGGTAAATGGTATTCCACCACACAGTTCTCAGTCCATAAATACCTGCTAGCAGGTATTCCTGCTAGCAGCACTGGAGAACTAAAATGGTATTCCACGACACAGTTCTCAGTCCATAAAGCACCCTTACACGCGTGAGGGAGCTCTGGTGGCACTGTGTGTTAGACATGTGGGAGTTACCTTCATTAAACAGAACATTCGCCTCTTCAAGGACCTCTGTTAATTTGTCACCAGCATTCAGTATATCCTCCCGGTTTTCTGTTCAAAAACAGACAAGCTTTGGGAAATTTGCTCATCAGGCACTAATAAAATCATTGGCAAAGTTATCCTCCGCAGTTGTGAAGTTGAGCCCTGACGCTGCCCCCTGGGAAATCACTCCAAACATCTTACCCTTTTAACCGTAATGGCACAGTAAGAGAACGGTTCTGCCCTTAGCATGATGTTTAAAAGGTATCCCTGGTTAACTACCTCCCAAGGGCCCGACGGGGGAAGCCTCTGAGGACTGCTCCCTACAGTGGCTGTCAAACCTCCGCAAGCATCTGAATCGCCCAGTGGGAGCCTCAACAGCCTCCCTGGCGCACTTCCCAGAGACTCAGACACGCTGGTCCCGGGTGGGGTCTCAGAGCTTGTATTTCTGACAGTTCGGAGGTGGGGGTGGGTGGGAAAAGGGGGCTGGATGCAATTAAAAGACAAAAACAACAACAACAAAAACAGGTGCCCGGTCGCGTTAGTTGCGCGGGCTCAGACGAATCACGAGGCGGACTGGCCTCCAGCTTTGCCGTTCTGCAAATCAGGAACCCGCCATGCCTCTCCCCAAGGTCCTGATGGGGACCCCCATGGACAAAACAAACGCTGGCTTACTCTGTAAACAAACGAAGGCACGGCCCGAATGCAAAGACTCTCATCAGTGCACATGAAAGAATAAAAATTAACCAGCCTCGGCCGCGCAGGCCTGGGCCCTCCCGCCCGGCGCTCGAGGACCGCCAGGCCCGCGCCCCTTACGTTGGACGGAGTTGATGAGCGCCCTGTACTGGTGGCGAATCTGGCGGCACAGGCCGTGGTCGGTCTCCACCTCCAGGGTCGCCGGGTCCACGCCTTCGTCCCCGGAGTCGTTTGGCTCCGCCTCGTCCAGGCTCGGGCGCTCCGAGGCCTCCCTGCGCTCGGACGCAGCGCCGCGGCTGGCCCTCGGCGACAGCGGCGACCGCGAGCGGGAGCGAGAGCGGGTGCGGTCTCGGTGCGCGTCTCGGCCTCGGCCTCGGCCGCGGCCCCGGCCCTCCGACCGGCGGCCGCTGCTGTCCCCAGACATAGCGCCAATGCTTCGTGCAACTTCGGAACGGCGGAAGTTCGCGCCAGAAACTGAAACCCCTGCTCGGCTCGCTCCGACTCCGCGCGGAATTAGCTCTGGCGGCGAGAGCTGACAGCGACGCCTGTGGCCGGAGGCCGGCGAGGAGGCGTGTGTCGGCCTTGCCCAGCGCGCGGAGCTCCAGCGCCTCCCGGCTCCTGCGGCTCAGCATTGGGCCGAAGGCCGCTGGGCGAGTGACACTGGGGACCGTAGGATCCTCGGGAGGGGGCCGGGGATGGGCCGGGTGCCCCTTAGGCCCTGGATATTGGGGACCGTAAGATCCCTGTGGGGGCAAGGGACAGGCTGAGTTCCCCTTAGACCCTTGACGTTGGAGACAGATCCTTCTAGGGGCTAGTGCTGGGCTGTGTGGTGCTAGGCCCCTGACACTAGGGACAGTGAGATCCCTCTGGGTGCAGGGATGGGCTGAGCGCCCCTTAGGCCTCTGAAGAGGAAATTGTCTGCTCCCATGACGTCAGGGACAGTCAGATCCCGCTACTATAGCACACTTCACAGTGTAAGGGCCTTAGGCTCTTGGTGTTCTGGTCCCCCACACCCACTAGGTCTTCATCTGCCGGGGCTCTCCGGCTCAGCTTGGCAACGCTGGTTTGTTGCGTTTGGTCCCGCAGTTGAGTGGGAAGAGCTCTGGACTTGAGACTGAACACCTCTTTCTGCCACTCACCATCTGTGGCCTTGGACTAATCGCTTAGTTTCTCGGAGCCACCTTGATGGGCAGCTGGCAATATCACTGTTGCTTAGGGCAGAAGAACAAAGGAACAAAACAATTAGCACGGTTCCCTGACTTCCTCATGTTGTTTTTGTTGTTATGTGCTGTTGAGTCGCCCGACTCATAGCGACCACTCCTTGGGTTTCCGAGGCGCTATCACTACGGAAGTAGGATTGCCCAACCTTCCTTCTGAGGAGTGGCTGGTGGGTTTGAACCGCCAGCCTTCTGGTTAGCAGTCAAGTGCTTTAGCCACTATGCTGACTTCCTCATAGTAAACTGTTAATCACCCCTTCTACTGCATGATGGCAGTTCTGTCATTGGCAAACTTAGAGATTCTAAAGTATCTTCTAGAGGGTTCTAAAAAGATGGGACTCTATTCAGTGTACTTTCAAAGGTAAGTATTATGAACTTCATTACATATATTTTGGATTGTATTACAGATATCTCCCAAAAGTTCTTTTTGGTTTGAGAACACATTGTTTTTTTTCTCCTCAAAGAGAAATACTATAAATTGGGTCCCTACACAAGCCTTCAAAGATCGCATTTAGTTCATCATGTGTAATAAGCTTGAGGCAGGCACTATTCATGGTTCCTCAAAGGCTGCTACCTTACCCGCAACCTCTGCTTGCCTGGATTTCAGGAGGGAACTTGGGCCTGCGTCATTGGATGGAGCATGATTGGTCTAAATAGTCCCGGTGACTGTCTGAGGACAGTGTGGAATCCAGTGCTGACCAGTGAGATGTAAGGAGGCTTCCCATTTGGATGAGAGACAAAGTCTCTGGAAAGGAAAGCCCTGCCCCCACCCTTGCCCCTTCCTTCAGATGCTGGCACCAGGGCCTTCTGTCTCTTAGAGGAGCTGGGATGGAGGCTTCGTCTCACGTACTCTGGGCATGTCATCGGGAGTGACCGGTCTCTGGAGAAGGACATCATGGTTGGTGAAGCAGAGGGTCAGAGAAAAAGAGGAAGACCCTCAAGGAGACAGACTGACACAGTGGCTGCGACAGTGGGCTGAGACACCGCGACAGCTGTGAGCATGACGCAGGACCAGGCAGTGTTTTGTTCTGTTGTACACAGCCTTGCCGTGAGTCAGAACTGACTTGATGGCACCTGCAAACCACAGGCACCTGGTGGACCTTTTCAATCTGGGGTTCACGTTCTTTGACTTTGGAAAATAGTCTGATATTACCTTTTTTGCCAGTTTCTTTGACTTTTCAATGTTCCATTTGTGCATCTCGTATTCATCAGATACGAGGCCTTGCGGGTAGGCTGTGTAAACCTCTAATTTTAAAAATAGTTCAATTCTGCTTAATGAGAGATTTCGTGAAGTATTTCATTCATAGAAGATTTCATTTCAACCTTCTATTAAATTTTGGATTCCAAATATGTGGGAGGTTAGGATTTTTGTTTGTTTTTATTTTGCTCTTGCCAGGTTGTTAGGCATTTGGGGGGGACAGTATGGGAAGGGGCTCCACCGACACATATTTTTAACTTTCAGCCTCAGATCTCTTGTCTCCACTGTTCTGGGAGTTCAGAGGCCTGAGATTTCCTGGGTTCTGCAGGGATGGCTGGATCTAGTTTTGGCTAGAACCCCTGCACCCCCCTCACCCCAGGCTGTGCCAGGCTCCTCTGCCTGAGTCTTCAGTCACCGGCCCTCCACCTATTTTCCGTTATCCACAAACATGGAGAAATTCCTTGCCAGTGGGTGCACGCTCTCTATTTTGCTTCATTATTGTCCCCCACAAACTTAAAAAAAAAAAAAATCCTTCGTTATCCCTTTCACAGAGTCTCGTGGATGAAAGAGTCACGGACAAGTGTCCTGCCTTCTTCACCCTGGGAATTTTTTCCTCACTGCATGTAGATAACAAACCTGAAATACTATATTTCTCTCTCTCTCTCTCTCTCTTTTTTTTTTTTTTTTTTTACAAATCTGCCTGTTTAGTGGGTGGCATAGATGGTTAAGCATTGGACTTCTAACCAAAAGGTGGTGGTTCAACCCCACCCAGAGGCACATTGGAAATAAGCCCTGGCAATCTGCTTCTCAATCTGCCACTGAGAAGCCTACAGAGAGTGACCAGCTGAGATGAAAAGGGCTGCATGGGCCCAGGGAGAAAGCTCAGAAGGCAGGAAGGGAAGGACAGAAGGAGGAATGGAAGCGGGAAACACGGAGAAAGTGGGAAGAGTGCTGCCACACTGCAGGGATTGCGGTCAGTGCCACAAAACAACATGTGTATGAACTGTTGCATGGAAACCCAGTTTGCTCTGTGAACTTTCACCCAGATCACAATTTTAAAAAGTTAGAAAAAGAAAAAAAACCACCTTGTGGAACATGGGATCGCCATGTGTTGGAGTCAACTAACCACAACAACCTGTTTGCTGTCACACTAAACATTACTTTGAATTTATTTTCCTCCGAGAGCTTTTAAATGATAGGCAGTTCTAAGCTGGCTGGGAAATGTTTCATTCTCTGTGTGCCTTGCCATATGCTAGCAATTTTCAGCAAGGCTGCATTTTAGCGAGTCTGAATAGGGCAAATACGACGTATGGGAAATAATATGATTCCTAAAGCTCACTTGATGAGAAGATTTTGAAATATTGAAAATCTACCCTTAAAAAAAATACAACTTTGTATTAATTAATTAAAAAATTAATCTTTTGGTCAAGAATCGTTTCCCAGCTGACAGGTCAAATGAATAATAAAAACTGCTCTGACGGGCCCGCCACACGGGGGCACCACCCCGCTGAAAAGCCCAGTGCCTTCCTCAGGATTGGGAAACTTTGGAACTTTAGTGATTTTATTGTAATTAAAAATATTTTTGATATCACAAACAATTTTCAGGTATTTATTATGCAGTGATGTTAGTGTGAATGAGCCCTGGTGGCACAGTGATTAAGCTCTCAGCTACTAAACAAAAGTTGGCGGTTTGAACCCACCAGCCACCCTGCAGGAGAAAGATGACAGAGTGCTCCCATAAAGATTACAGCCTTGGAAACCCTATGGGGCAGTTCTACTCTGTCTATAGGTCGCTATGAGTCAGAATCTACCTGACAGCAGCCAATTTTCTTTCTTTCTTTTCTTTTTTTTTTGGTGTTAATGCGAGGACTAAACATGTTCCTAGGTTAATGAACTGGAACAGATGTGAAATGTGATGAAAATCCATGAAAGAGACCAAGAAAAACATGAGGTGCTGGACCGTTCACTTAGGAGAAAACACTTTGTGAAATAGGAGAACTGAGGTTTAGAAAACGAAACACAGCATCAGGAGGAAAACACAGGATGGTGGAAGATAGGGAATATATTTCCTTTCCTTTTACTTTTACTCTTGGTTCCAAGGGAGAATTTGACTTGAATTATTTGAGTTTTGAATTACACAAAGACTTCATAAAACGTATCTCCCCCAAAAAGTGTGCTTACCCTGGACACTTTGATTGTCAGTGTGGTAGTTACGTTTGTGTGTCAACTTGGCTGGGCCTGGTTGAGTGGCTGGGCAGCTGGATGTAGTATTCCCCATGATGAGACTGGTAATCAACTCCATGGTGGGATCTACTGTGAGCAGCTGAGTAGCTGCCTTAGGGATGTGGTCTGCTTCCTGTATAGAAGGAGAAGCCTTGGGGAACGGTCTCTAGCTTATGGCATGCTTGAACCCTGCATATAGCTGTGTCGTTGTTCAGCAGTCTGCCATGCTCTGCCGACCTTGGGACTTTCAATGGATTTGAATGAATGGCCTGCCGTGTGGTTTGCTAATATCAGGACTGTGGCTTGTTACTTGTCGACCTTGGATTTGTCAGCCTCAGCAGCCAGCAGCTGAGTGAGGAAAAGCCTCCAGCTTCAAAGGGCCGAGAGCAGGAGACAGAGCTGGACCCCAAGGTTGAGGGGCTTTCACCCAGCCCCTAGAGCCTGGCACTTTAAACTCAGACTTAAAGCTTCCAAATTGTAAGAATAAACTCCTGTTTGTTCAAGCCACCCCATTTGTGGTATCTTCTTTTAGAGTGGCACTAGGTGACCAAAACACTCAGTTTTGGTTTGCAGAGGTTTTTTACATCCACCATCTTGTTTAGGTCACACCACACCGGTGAAGAAGGTGGAGTTCAGGATGATTTCCATCTTACACCTGATAAAACCAAGGTTCACTGCATCTGGGCAACTGATCCAAGTCCCTTGCTAGAAAGTAGATGAATCAGGACTAAATATCTGGCCTTTAGACTCTTCTTTCCGAACTGTCTGGTAGTGCAGTGCAGTGAGTTACTTAGCATGACCCTTCTAGACATAGTTAGTCTTTGCGACTCCCACACAGTTATT